TTTTTTTTAACTTCCTCAGAGAGGGCTGTAAAGCAGAAGTCCCCAATCTTCCAGGTTTTGTGGACCAGCAGTGGAGGAGGGGATGGTTTCAGGCCACGCAACTGGCAGGCATAGGCGCTCGCAGCTTCATTTGTGTGAGCGGGGGACGCTTGCATTTACACGTGCAGCTCCATTTGCACACCTGCCACTCACACAAGTGCAGCTGCATGGATGAGCACACTCGCCCTCCACTTGCACTGCCCGGTTCCAAATAGGGGGCAGCCCAATACCAGATTACAGTAAAGCACTCTGGAGCGGGTATATAAGTGCTATTGCTATCGTTGAAAGCTGGTTGAGAAGATTACATGACCCCAGGATGTTGCAACCATCATAAATACATGCTTGTCTTTGCCAAGTGCTGGATTTTGATCCTATGACCATGGGGATGTTGCAATAGTCATAAATGCGAGGATCAGTTGTAAATCATTTTTTTCCAGTGCTGTCAGAACTTCGAACAGCGGCTAAAAGGATGATTGAAAGTCAAGGACTACCTGTGGGACCTGATAGCGCCCTGTGTGATGACCCGGGGCATGGCACAAAGGCAACACAGCCAAATAAGCAATAAGAGTCTCTTTATTATCTCCAACTTTGCCCCCAATGTGCAGGTTACCTTCGGCTGGAGAAAAACTCTCCCTGGAACAGCCTTTGACTGTAGAAAATTCAGTCCAAAACAAGGTACACACAAACTGTAACTTAAAATCCAAACAAACCAAACTGAAGTAATTAGCTTGACAGGGCAGGAGAAGGAATTTCAGACTTCAAAGCACGCCAAAACTCACACAATTGGGAAGATGACAGGAACCCAGATAAGCCACAACAATACAAGATAAATTCATGTTTGCTCCCAACAGCTTGCTGCACACAGCTGGCCTTTTTTTATACATCGTGTTCCCAGCTACAGCTAATGAAGGGAATCAGGGCCCTTTCCTCCCCTCTAAGCCATGCAACCCATGTTGCTCTCTTCTCTGTTCCTCCCTGCGTGCCCTCGGATGAAGAGTGGGTGGGCCTGGGTCTTCCTCCCTTGTTCTACCTCTCCCCTGCTCTGCCCAGCTGGATTTTGCCCTTCCCCAGTTTCTTCCACAGCCAATGGAGCCACACTCCTACTCCCTGTCAGCTGTTCAGCTTCCTCCTCCGAGTCAGATTCCGACAGGAGCATGACACCCTGAGGCAATCAGCAGCAGAAGCTCATATAATTTGGGCTTGTGCTACAAGTGGATTCCGAATTTGAAAAAAACAACAACTGGGATTGCAGGATTTGGAAGGGGAGACAAACAGATCAGGTAGGCTGATTGGATTGAGAAGATCCCTGGAAAATCCTCAAAGAGCTGCTTAATATTACTAGTCCTGGGTGGGGATCCAGTTTGAAGGAGAAAAGTCAATCTGGAGCATGTATGGACATGCATATCCAACCCGTTGGCTTTCCACGTAACACGTTTTCCTTCAGGAGCTCACAAACAGCTGAGCTTCGATAACAGCAATGTTCCACGCACACCCACTAACACTGAATCACCTTTGAATCTGGATCTCAGCACAGGGCTACAAAAGGTTGCATTGACTTCAACAGACGTGAGGTGACGGTGACAGATCATTGTCAAGAAACAAAACCAAAACTTGTGAGCACTCCATTTGACAAATCTGAGATCTCAACCCCATTAGCTTTTTCCAGAAAGCCTTGAAAACTTGGCTCCTTTTTTCCTGGCACAAGGGCAGAATCTCATCTGTATGGTTTGATGGGATTCTGGTTTCCAGACCCCCTCAGCTTTGTTGTACAGGTAGATTTCAACTTGTATAACCATTTAGGAAAAGCATTCTGCTTATGGCAGAATTACTTGCACCAGCTTTACAAAGGGAGACCCAAGAGATCCTGCTAGAAATTGATGAGGCCTATAGAGTTCAAATGAGCTACGCTCGAGGTAACAGGTTACCTAGGGAAGTCCACAAGCGATTTGCCAGGAAACAAGTACGTGACATAACATACAAGATAACACGGGTCTATAAAGATAAAGAAGTGCAAACTCTGAAGCAGGTTCCCAAAAAGATGTGCGAACAGAGCAAAGACTATAAGTTTTTAGCAACACAACTCATCCAGAAGAACATAAAGTTTCGATGGTTAATTCCAGAAGGTTTGTTGGTAACATGGCAGGAAAAGAGGATCAGGATAGATAACTTAGACAAGGCACAAGATTTCTATGAGCAGATTGGAGGAACAGAAGAAGAAAGCTGTGGTAGAGAGGAGCTAGAGACAGAAAGCCAAGAAGAACAACAGCAAGATACAGGAGGCCTAGAACAAGAAGGAGAGAACAAGGAGGAGACTGAAGGAAGAAGATTAAGAACATGCCTGCAAAGAGAGACTAGAATTAACAGAAGACAAGATAATATCCCACAAGTAGAAAGACGGAAACGGAAATGAAGCTATTATCATTAAACATAAATGGTCTAAACTCACCCATTAAAAGGAAACAGATACTATCTAGATTAGCCAAACAGAAATTAGAAATAGTATGCCTGCAAGAAGTCCATATTAAAAAAAAAAATTCTGGAAATGTTTAGAATATCCTAAATTAGGAAGGTTATTTGTAGCTCTGGCAGATAAAAAAAAAAGGGACAGCAGTATATGTTAAAAAAGGACGGCATTAAAAATGTGATTTATGATCAGTCCTCCCACTAACAATCATGGGAAAGTTCCTGTGGGTCACATCATCAAAATTAGAGCACTTGGCAACCACAGGTATTTATGATAGTTATACTGTTCTGGGGATCACTTGATCACCTGGTGATCTTCTCAGCTGGCTTCTGACAAGCAAAGTGAATGGGGAAGTTGGGTTTGCTAAATGACCATGCCAGTCATTTAACAATGGTGGTTCAAAAAAAGGTCATAAAATCGAGTGGAACTCACTTAACAGCCACCACACTTAGTAACAGAAGTTCTGATCCCACTTGTTGTAAGTTGAAGACTACCTGTAATGTTCTATTACAGAGGTCTCCAAACTTGGCAATTTTAAGACTTGTGGACTTCCAGCTCCCAGAAGTCCACAAGTCTTAAAGTTGCCAAGTTTGGGGACCCCCGTTCTATTATTTCACGTTTAAGTTTTGTCCTGTGAAATCACAAGATCAGAATGGGCAGCTATTCTATAAATAAAAACAAGCAAATATTGCCACCTGATTAACAAGCACTTGAACTGTTATTTACTGCCCTCAACTGAGCCTTCAGACATCTAGGAACAATCCCACAGGCCTACTTTGCAGGGGTGTCATATGGATTAGGTAACATTCAGCTGTTGAAAAGGATGATGATGATGTGGGACAGAGCATGAGAAAGATATAGTGGTTGCTGGATTTCTTCCACATCCTGCTGAACTCTACAGGGAGTCCCCAATTTACAACAGTTCATTTAGTGACCATTCGAAGTTAACTACGGCACTGAAAAAAGGGACTTATGACCTTTTTTCACACTTAAGACCATTGCAGCATCCCCAATGGTCACCTGATCAAAATTCAGACACCTGGCAACTGACCCATTTTTGCAGTGTCCCGGAGTCATGTGATCTGCTTTCTCGACCTTCTGAGGAGCCAAAGCCAATGGGGAAGCCGTTGCACTTCACAAAACCCTGCCAGTAACTTGACCGCTGCAGTGATAGGTCGCAAAGGAGGGCGAAATCCACTTAACAACTGTCTCGCTTAGCAACAGAAATCTTCGGGCCTGAACCGTGGTCGCAAGTCAAGGACTACCTGTAACGAGGGGAAGCCCTGTCCCCTTCCCACGGACGCTTTCTGAGCCAGATGCCGACGAAGCCACCGACCGGGACTCCAGCCCATCTCCCGGTTCCCCGCTCGCAGCTTCCACCCACCCACCCACCCGCTCGGCCGCGCCACGCCGCGCTTGCCGGCCTCGCTTGCTTTCCCCACTCTGCTCGAGCAGGGGGTTGGACTAGAAGATCTCCAGGGTCCCTCTCCAATTCGGTTCTTCTGTCCTTGTCCAGCAAAGCCCCCGGCGGCGCGCCAGGTGCGCTCGCCCACCCGGGTTTCCTCCCTTAAGCTTATAAGGCGCAGGAGCCAGCCGGGCGCCTTCCAGCGGATGCCGCTGCTGGCGCTCCCTATGGTCCGGGGGAAGCGGCCCCAACCCCCGCGCCTCACACCGCCTCCCGGCCCTTCCAAACCGCGGGGACCCGAATGGCCAGCGGTTGCTCCGGCCGAGCCCGGCTATAAGGGGATCTCTGGCTCCGAAAGGCCCGCTCCGGAGCCTCCGCGTGGGCTCGGCGGTGCGCAGCAGGCGAACGAAGGGGCGGGCGGGCGCGGCGCGATCGGCGGAGCCGGGAGCGCACAAAGCCGGGCGGCCGGGGGCTTCAGCCCGGTCCGGGGGAGGGCCCCGCTCGGCCAGGCGGCCGGCCGGAAGGAACAGCAGGCAGCGGGGATGGGACGAGCGATCACGGAGCTGCCAGGCTGGAGGAATCCTCTGCCCGCCCTGCCCCCCTCAGCCCTGTTAGTTTAACCTACGTTAGTTTCCTCAAGTTGGGCCCCTTCCTCCTGCTCTGTCCTCCGTCTGAAAGGCTCCCTGCCAGTGCCGGAGCCGATCCGTCCCTTCAAGCCGGGTTTAAGGCGAAGGAGGAGGCGGAGGTAGCTGCGCGCTCGGAGCCCCGTTGCAACCACACCGGAGCGGAACGTATAAGGCCGGGCTGGCTGGGTCTCCCCTTGCCTTTCCCCTCCCTTCTTTTTTTTTTTTTTTTTCCCCTTTTCCCAGCCTAGCGGCCGAGGATTTGAAATGCAGCTCGAGCACACACAAACATACAACACACCCCGTGGGAAGGCTGGCCCGGTTTCGAGTGACACGGATTTAGGAGGAAGGGACGAGAGTGGGTGAGTTAGAGGCTGCCCAGGCGATCGGGAGAGGAAGGGGCGTGAGGGGGTGGGAGCTGAGGGAGAGGCCACCGCTCTTGGGCTGGACCCGGTCAGCTCATTCTGGTGGTGGTGGTGGTGGGAGTTGGGAGGGGCCGTAGAGGTCATCTAGTCCCACCCCTTTCCCAGTGCAAGATCCATGATCAGATTAGGTTTGGATTTGTGCACTTCAATTCCCAGCAGGGAATTCTGGAAGCTGAAGTCTGCAAGCCTTTGAAGAGATCATTTGGCCCGCTGAGAGCTAGGTAGGCAGCATCTACATTTCATAAATGAAAATCTGAGGAAACATAATGACGCTTATAGTATGAATATTTTCTCCTCCGGATCACAAAATGGTAGTGGAATAAACGGGTATATCCCTCAGATTTCTTTCAGGTAAATTGGGAGGCGTGATTGGATTTGTTTGATTTTTAACCCACCTTTATTACTTTTATAAGTAACTCACAGTGGCAAAGATATCTCATTCTCTTTCCTCGTTTCCCCACAACAACCCTGTGAGGTACATTGGGCTGAGAGTGACTGGCCCAAGATCACTCGGCCATTTTTCACGCCTAAGGTGAGATTGGGACTCACCGACTCCTGATTGGCCCAAAGTCACCTAGCTGGCTTTCAAGCCTAAAGTGGGAGTAAACACATAGTATCCTTGTTTCTAAGCCAGTATTTTAACCATCAAATCCCCCTTTTAATAACTTTTCAAGGTTTTTCTTTTCCTTTTATAAGGATGAGTGGGAAGAGGTGTCACTTTTTGAAGGTGTGAAATTTTTTGGAGATACAGCCCATATTATGGTGCTTCTGAATCTGTTTCTTTACCCCACTCCACCCCTCTTCTCTTCCCCACCCGCAGAATTGGCTGGGAATTACTGTGAAGTATTCATTTCTTACTCCAGTGTCTAAACTGTACTTCTGGGCAGTTCATAGATTAAAACAAATAACAAAAAAAAACCCACCACCACTACAATAAAAGCAGCTGCACTGAGACAAGATAAACTGTAAAATGCACATGTAATGAGTCTTTGCAGCACCCTGGCCCATACTTGTAGACAGAGCCAGATCTTTCTAGCCCTATCTTAAATATAAGCAGGGTGGGGCCATATGTATATAAAGGAGGCAGCCTCTTCATAGGGAAGGCACTGCAACAGCCCAAGACATCTTTTCTGGATCCTATGGTATGCTATTGTTTTATTCTTGAGGCCAGAATGACACCAAATTTGGTAGCGGGTGCATTATTACCTTCAAGGCAGGAGGCATCACCTGCTCCCTTTCATATCACCTGAATCCAACCATACAGCCCTATTTGCCCTCCCCCCAAATAGCCAGCCATGATATGGATCTAGCCCACAAGTGGTAGGTTTCATATTGCCCAAAACATGATCCAGTTCCATGAGTTCCACCAACTCAAAAGAATCCCCAAATAAAATGCAGGGTCACCTCTGTTGGTTCTGCTCAAGTAGTATCTAAACCAGAGCAGACACAAACAACTATTTGCAAAGAAACCCACAAATTTGTCCAGTTGGTCTACAAGTTTCTTGTCCCTAACGTTATCACAGACAGAGACAGAGACAGAGACAGAGACAGAGACAGAGACAGAGACAGAGAGAGAGAGAGAGAGAGAGAGAGAGAGAGAGAGAGAGATTTCTCTAGTGTTATCGGGAAGACAATATGTCTTGCATGTCTGTTCTGAAGCAAATCCTAGGTGGGTTAGAAAACCTTGCTACAGATCTGTCTATGGAGATTCTCAGTCATCCAGGTCAGAGCTGAAGCAGCTTCCTGGATGAGAAGCGAAACGTCTTCAAAAACAAAACAGAAGTCCAGTTGCCTCTTGAAAAAAAGCACCTTTGGGACGTCTACAGATCGTCCCTGACTTAAAACCATTCACTTAGCGACCATTCAAAATTACAACAACACTGAAAAAACTGTCCTCTCACAACCATCACAGCATCCCACAATTTGGGTGCTTGTCAAACGGCATGTAATTATGACTGTTTTTATTTATTTGTATCTCACCTTTATTATTATTTACAAATCACTCAAGGCACAAACATATCTAGCACTTTCCTCCTCCTACTTTCCCCACAACAACTCTGTGAGGTGGGTTGGACTGAGTGTGACTGAACCAAAGTCACACTCACTGGCTGTTGGGAGTATTCCAGAGCCACCTGACCACCCTTGGCAACCTTCCCAGCTGACTTAATGACAAGCAAACTCAGGAAATCAAATTCACTTAACTACATGATTCGCCTAACTGCAATGATTCACTTAACCACCATAGTCAAAAGGTCGTAAAATGGGACATGACTCATTTAATAACCATCTCACTTAGCAATGGAAATTCTGGTCCCCCTCGTCATCATGAGGACTACCTGTATTTCTCAATGAAAGCTACCCTGAGTCTTGGCCACAAGCTAGAGACACTTTTTGCCCTCAGTATCGTTGTAAAATCTATATCCACCATCTCCTCAAAATAGCTTACAGAAACTAACAATACAAATGGAAGATCATTAGGATTAAAATGAAGGGCAACCTCAAGACTGAGGCAATTCAAAAATCAGTTCCAACTAAAGATGATAGAGATGGCGTTTGCCATTTTCTGACAAACTGAAGAAAAAAAGTCAAATATTACTTTTAGGATAGGTTTTTTACTGCCTGGAAACTGCACTAGGTTTGCTTCCATGCCAGACAGGAGAGAATCTGGTAGTACAATCATCAAAAGGCCTTGTTGATCTATATAACTTGCATTTTTTTAGTGGGAAGAGACCATTTCACAAACACAGTTTTTTAAAAAAATATTAAATATACATGCTGTCTGTCTTACTATCTAGTAATTGCTATAGTGTATTTGCATACCAAACCATAAATGTTTTTTTTTAAATCATCATTGTTGAACTTGGAAAAATTTTAAGTGTTCCTTGATTTGGAAATAAATTTATACTCGCTGCTATCAGGAAGATCAAAAACTTTGGGGAAGGTTTGCAGCCAAAGGATCCACATCCCACTTTTTCTTCTTGTGGGTAAGCAAGTGTGGCTTCACAACTACTGAGGAAGACTTGTTGGGTGGGGGTGGGGATTCCTTGAGTGATATTGATAGCAAAGCTCAAAAGACACCCAAGTTTTTTAACCACACAATGGCTTGTATAAAACACCAAGCCATAATTGCTTTACAAATTAGCTATTACACAATAGGTCACTCCATAACAGGTTGTGCAAACACATCCTACAAGCATTAAATAGCCACTCAGGGCAAGAATGTTTTCATCATATGCTTCATTAATAGTGCCTAGCTGTGTTCATACACAGACCGCAAATCAGCCACCCATTGCAGCATAGCATAGCCTATTTTATTTGGTTTTTATTTGTTGCCTTACAGGCCAAGGCCAAAGCAGTACTGTAGCTTTCCGTGTGAACTCGGTTTGTGAGGTTAATTTATGTTTCATTGTGTTGCAAGAATCCAGGAAATTGGGTTGGGATTTGCATCTGCAGGAATCCAAGGAAATCAGGATATAAATATGTTATTACGTTGTACCAAAAATTCATTTATCCCAATATTCTTAGGCCAGTTCTGCATTGGTTTACCACCTGCTCAATGAAAAATAATAAGAGTTAAGGAAAAAAAAGACTGGATTCATTTTGCATTTTGTAAACAGACAAGTAGCCTTGCTTAGTAACCATTGAAAGTTATGACAGACCTCAACAGAGCTACTTACTACCCAATTCCAGGGTCTCAATGGTGGTCCCTCCCTTGCAGTCAGTCACATGACTGCATCTGGGTGCTTGGCAACAAGTTCGCATTTACAATCCTTTGCAGTGTCCTGGGGTCACGTGCCCACAATTTTTGCTGGTTTTTTTTTTTGCCAGTTTTTGTTTCTAGTTTCCAGCAAAAAAACTCCCAGAGTAAAAAAGATGTTTTATAACCAATAATGCAAAACAGCCATAAAATCCAGCAGTCACAGTGACCCACTTAATGGTGATTGATGACTGTAACTCTCAGCCAAATTCCAGCCGTTAAGTCGAGAACCACAGGTACCTGTACTGATAATTCTCCCAATGGACAAGCCACTCTTGGCATGCAAAGTTCAGGATTCTAATCCTGAAATTAGGGTCTGGCACTCATGATTGATCTGCTCATCTTTATCAAGCAAATTCACTACATTTGGCATCTCAGATCTGCCATTTGATTCCTCAAGACCACTGTTGACAGGAAAGCAAGATTCCCATTTTGGAGTCTCTGCAGCATCCTTAGTTAACTGGAAAAGCAACAGCTATGGAGAAACGCTCTTCTCAATGACACACCGTCATTGTTTGAGCCATTCTGAAGAAGTATTTAGTTCTCTCTAGTTTCTTAACATGCATACCACATTATAAAGTCTGTTGTATAGATGCCTGACTTAATACGATTTACTCCCAAGTGTAACTGGAAGTTGTAGAGCTTGCTTAACCAGGGCAGTGGATGCCATTCAGTGAACATCTAAACGTGACCAGTGTCAAACCGGTCTATGAGGAAGGGGGCTGCTTAGCTTATTGTACAACCCTTCGTAGGTGTGAGCCTCCAAAATGGATTAATTCAGTAACTGTTTTTCACTTTGGACAGATGACAGAATAACAGAATTGGAAGGGACTTTGGAGGTCTTCTAGTCCAGAGGTCTCCAACCTTGGCAACTTTAAGACTTGTGGACTCCAACTCCCAGAATTCCTGAGCTAACATGACTAGAGGAAGAATTCTGGGAGTTGAAGTCCACAATTCTTCAACTTGGCAAGGTTGGAGACCCCTGTTCTAGTCCAACCCGTAGCTCAAGCAGAGATTCTACTATTTCAGA